ACTAGAAAATGACTGGTATCTGCCTCCCTCACGATGGCAACATTTCAGATGAACACTGGGTTTCTGAGTGTTTTTCTGAGTGCTGCCAGCATGGAAAATCCATCCCTGATTGGGATTTAGCGGTGAGCAGTCGGGGCAGCTTCTTGCTTGAAAGCAGCAAGCTTTCATGTGTTTACAGCTTTTGTTTTTTGGCAATAAATGTTTGTATTACCTGTGATCAAGGAGCCTTGAAGGGCATTATAGAGGCGAGTCATGAATACAACTTCATTTCTTCCCAGGTCTCTGGGAAACTGATGTAGGTAACCTGATTTATTTGTATTTTAAACTAGAAGAGAATTCCACCATTTCTGGGGGTTTTAGACAAATAAGTTTGTTGTTATAATTTTTTGTTTGAAAGGAACAACAAAAAATTCTGAATAATGGTTGCGTTTTCGAAATGGATTAAAGCTGGTCGATAAGAACCAACTCTCCTGAGACTGGGGTGGGTGATGAGTTGTGCTGTGCTTGAAGGTGCCTGATCCAATTTCATAGAATCACAGACTGGTTGGAAAGGACCTTAAATATCCTCTAGTTCCACCCCCTGCCATGGACAGGAACACCTTCCACTAGACTAGGTTGCTCCAAGCCCCGTCCAACCTGGCCTTGGGCACTTTATTGGTTGTTGTTTTACTTTGCAAAATTGCTGATGTGCAGCAGTATCCAGCTCTGAGCTGCATAATGAAGGTTCACCAGGGAACCTCAGAACAGGAGAAAATATTTGTGTGACACCCTCAAAGCCAGCAGTGGGTATTGGAACCTGTCATTATCCCAGAGTTCCATTCCAGAGATGAAGGGTAATGTAGACTCTGTGGAGATGGAGTTGAAAAGCAAAAAAAATTGGATATGGGGAATCTTCTAGTTTGGTGTGTTGTGAGGTGATTTGGTAAAATGCAAAGTGGGAAGTCCTGCACTGGGACTGACCCACGCAGGGACTGCTCTTGCCTTAGGCTGCAGAATTAAGCCCCTTTCTTTTGTTGAGCTGCATTACACAGTCGCCATTCAGCTCTCTGATTCAGTGCAGCCATCCCAAATGAAAATGGGATTTGATGTCCTCTTAAGCAAAATTCACGTATAAAGAAAGGAATTATTAAGCCAGAAATTAAATTCCACTTACTCTGGGTTTTCCAGGCGTGCCTGGAGCTGTTCTGCTGGTTAAGATGTGCTGCTGCACTGTGCATTTGCTTCAGCCTTTCCCGGAGTCGTCCCCGGGTCTGCCGTTAGATTCCTCTCCCACTGGAACTGCCGGCCCTGTTTGGCAGATCCGTGCAGCCAACACAAACGAAGGATGATTCATTCACAAAATATTCCTGAGTGAGGAGCTGGACTGCACCTCTGCTCTGGTTTTACACTGGTTCAACTGACCTGCTGGGGAAGAAGTTGCTCCTCAGGGCATGGTGGGATGAGCAGTCACAGCTCACTTTGCGGTACAATATTTCTCCCATCTTGCCCTGCTTTTGGTTTCAGGTGGGGAACTGTCAATGCAGAGTAAATAAACTGGCTGGGAGAGGCTCATAGCATCGAGGATTTCTGCCTAGTTGGCCTGGTATGTCCCAAACCATGGGGCATCCCAGTATGATGAGTCCCCAGCGCTCAGACCTGTCTTGTTCCAGAGGGGACCCAACGCCTTTCCCAGTAGTTGTCGAGTTTTCAGCTGTGTAGAGGACTTTATAAAATGAGAGATGGTTTGGCCAAACTCATTCTATTCTGATGAACTAATAAAAGAATATCCTGTACTGGGAAATCCAGTACTGATTATCCTCCCTTCCACTTGGTTTCACTTGGAATTATGGCAATTCCAAGTGAATTGGGGTGTCCTATTGCCTTAGGGAGGAGACATTTGCCACTGATGTCCAAAGTTGAGGGACCTGGAAATTTGGAGGTTACGTGCTCTCTATATATTTCTAAAGTTTCATTTCAAGGTTTGTAGAATGAACTTAGATCTGCACAGACATTTGTTCTGCTTTTGGAAGAGAGGTGGGGAGAAGCAAGAGAGGTTTGTTGTCCAGATACTCCCATAGCTGAACAGTCTCATTTGTACAGTGGGATTTTTGGCAGCTTCCTGTATCTATTGGTGTTCCCAAGGCTCTGCTCTGTATCCACAGTGTCATTCCTGGTGGTAGACTGCAGTAGAATATTGACATTTGTTTACTACCTTTTACCAGAGAAAGTTAATTACTTAAAGAATAAAGGAGTGTTATGGATGCTCCCCTTCCCCAGGGTTGCAGCAGGGAGGATTTACACTGCAGTGGCTGTGAGGGTGCTCTGGGAATGCCAACGCTGGTAATATTTAGAGTCATAAAATTCTGGCTATTGGATGAGCTCCTAATTACTTCGATCTCTTATAGTCTTACTAGAAGTTCAATAGACCAGACTGAAACCAGACAGTTGCATTTGCATTAATCTCCATACGTAGGTCAGTGAGGTTTCTTCTTTTTTTTTTTTATTTTACCACAGAAAAAGATGGGAAAATTAATTTTCCACTTGGAGCTTTAAATGAAGGGCATTACTGTACATATGGTTTGTTGTACCATATCCCCCTCCTATGTGATGCTCCAAGTGGGTGTCAATGGACTCAGCTCAGCAGGGCAGGTCTGTGGTGCTCTTAGGATGGAAAATACTCAAAAATCTCTCGTGGAATTTGCCCTGGATTGGTGTCTTAAGAGAGTGAAAATAAATAAAACCAATAGAAATTAAATTTTCATGATTATTTGATTCTTCAAGTTGCATTCTTTCCAAAATAAGTGGTAGCAAGGTGTTCCTTGCAGGTGTTGGAATGTAAGTTACTGCATTCATTCATCAGCAAGTTGATCTCTGTTGCTGTTCCTGGAAAGTCAGTATCTCAAAATACACTCTCAATGTCAGCAAAATGCTGTGCTGCTGAAAACTGCCAAATTATATTCTCTCTTTCTCCTTTCTGATGAGCTGATCAATAAAGGAGGCATTTCCATAACGTGGTATTTAGTCTCTCTCCAGTTGAAATATAATATTTACAGTTGTAAATATTCTTCACAGCTGGTAGCTGGTTTCTCTCTCCTGCTTTTATGATAAGTTTACAGCATGTTGCTGTCGCCAGGCTCAATCCTACATGTTTTTTGGCTGCCTCAGGAAAAAAAAAAAAAGAACAGGCAACTTGTTTGAAGTCTTGTGCAGTGTTTATGCATGAGATGTGTTTCTTTTGGAGTAAATTCTGAACGTGACCCTCCTGGTGCTCAGCTGCACGTGCCGAGTGTGAGTATCCAGGGTTTGTGAGTCCCAATCAAACATCCCACTGCTCAGCTTAACCACCCTGTACATGGTTTTCTTCAACCTCATGCACTCAAACCATTTAGTGGGAGCCCGAACCAAGTGAGAAATGGGAAATAACCTGCAGCTTGTGGGGGAATAAAATTGCTGGAATTTGAAGAAAGATGGAAGAAGTTGGGTGTTTGGCTTTGGCGAGCTCTAGGGAGGGATGAGAATCTTTGAACTTCTTCTGCAATTCTCAGTCAAATATTCTTTGCATTTATTAGTCCTACTTAAATCATTTATAGTGCAAGAATTATTGGAGAGACACAAAAATACGTGTATATAAGATGTAGATTCTTCCAGACCTGTCAACTTATCAGACTTATTATCATTTTCATATAATCTTTCCAATTAGTAAATGTTTTTTGTTGTTGTTGATGTTCAGCTTGCAAGTAAAAGAGAAAGCTACCTTGGGTGAGGTTTACACCATGTCATACTCTGATGAAAGCACTGATTAGCACGAGTCATTTGGTGTCGTTCCCCCCGGGCTGTTCCCCCCGAGCTGTCAGCTTTCATCAGGAGCAGGAAATGCATGTTTGTAAAGTATAACTGTTATTAGCAGAAGTCAAACTATGGGAAGGTTGGGGTTTTTCACTTGCAGATGTGTCAGAGGAGTAGGGAAGTGTGTGGGCAAGTGTGCTGTTTGGTTTTGCTCATATTTCTCCCCTGTGTTTGCAGTTATGGTGTTGTTGAATGACTTAGCACAAGTTCTCCCACCTCTGCGAAAAACAAGTATTTGTGATAATGGGTTTTTTGTTGTTGTTGTCGACTGGTACATCAGGTCCTCTGTTAGCAAACCAGTTAAATGGTGAGTCACTGCAGGGAGTAGGAGTGATTGCAGCATGCAAAAAAAAAACACAGCGTAGGAAACCTTGGATTAATATAAGCGGAGAAACTATCAATAGAAATGCTGACCACTGGTGTTCCCTGGAGCAAAACAATCTGGCTTCAAGGAGGAGAAAATAGATTGATGTTCTTATTAGCAGTGAAATCTCAGTGTTTTCTGTAGACATTTCTGTCTGGCCTTTGGGAAGGAGACGGTGGCACCGTTGCTCCAGATGAGGGGACAAAGAGCTGGTGAGAGGCTGCTCCATGTGCTGACAGCAGAGCTGGGAACTGTCCCCACACAGTGTCCATCACCTGGGAGTGGGTCTGCGGCCCCTTGGAAAGGCAGAAGACTTCCCAAAGTGTGATCCTGGGTAACTCAAGGCTCTGGGATGTGAGCAGGAACTGGCTGCTTGAGCTCCTGGAGCACCCACGTGCCAGCCGTTTCCTTGGGAGGAGAAGGAGCGTGCACCCTTCCTGCCAGAGCCTCAGGGAACATCTTCCAGTGCTTTTCACATCAGCCAGCAAGTGTCTGTTAAAAAGGAAAAAGAAAAAAAAAAGTAGTTTTGAATGTATTTATTTGGAGTATTTGCAAAAGTTCAAGGCTTGCACTAAATTGGTTTTGCTGGTTCTGTTAGCTAATAGAAAAAAGTGAGCTTATGTAATGAACATGGTCTTTTTAATGGCAACATAAATGTTTGCTAATTACCATATGGAGATGAAGGTCATATTAATTACAAAACGGTTCTTGCAACGCTACCAAGCAACCATCCTTTTAATTTTTTTTTATGGGATTAATTAGAGATAATATGCATTCAGGACTGACAGCTTTTCTTCATAATGTTTTCCAGAAAAACATATATGGCTCTATTTGAACCTAACTGACTGCTGCGTGCCCTGCACATCTGTGCTGGGTGGTGGGATCGACGTCTCCGCTGAACTTTGGCCAAAAAGGGCAATCACAGCAAACAGCAATGAAACAGCAGTGTTGGAGCAGATTTGACCTTCTGAGGCATGAATTTAAAACACAGATGAGAGCTTGTGCCAAGAGGCTTCTTGGGAGCATTGGGTCTGTTCTCATTAAAGGCTGTGGGTTAACTCCTGTGCTCGCAGAGTAAATACTGGAGTGGGACGGGCAGGATAAACCTGCTGCTGCTCAGGCTGCTCATGGCTGGGGCTCTCTCTTCTGCTGCATCACCAGAGACCCAGAGTGGGATGCAGAGCTTTCCTCTAGGGCTGGGCTCTTGCCTTCCCCTGTTTCTGAGCACTCTGTGCTGGAGACGCAATTTAAGTTAAAATGGGCAAGATGTGCATGGCCAAAGCCTTCCTCCTCCTTGGTGTGCTCCTTAGGCCCTCAGTTCATGGACATGGTGTTCAAATGGCCAGTGTACAGCCTGGGCAGCACAGCAGGGCAGGTGGTTTACAGGGCCATGCAAGATATGATCTTAGGCACTGCTAATGGGCATGAGTAGGCTGGTTCCTCCAGTGTGGAGTGGGAATGGCTGGTGGCAGTGTGGAGCTGTTTGGGCACTTGATTTTGTTAAACCTCATGAGATTCCCAAGGGCCACTTCTTGAACTTGTCCAGGTCCATCTGGATGGGCCCATCTTCCAGGTGTGTCACTGCACTCTCAGCTTGGTGTCACCCGCAAACCTGCTGAGGGTGCCCTTGATCCCTTCATCTGTGTCATTAATGAAGGTACTAAACAACAGTGGTCACAATACAGACCTTTGCGGGACGTCACTGGTTACTGTATGTCTGCCAGGACTCTGAGCTGTTGACCATGATGCTCTGGATGGGACTGTCCAACCAATTCCTAATCCACCCAACAGTCCACCCATTGAATCCATCTCTCTCCAACTTGGAGAGAAGGATGTTCTGGGGGACTGTGTCAAAGGCTTTACAGAAGTCCAGAGAAATGTCATCTGTAGCCCTTCCCTTGTCCCTTGTTACTCCACTGGGTTGGTCAGGCAGGACATGCCCTTGGTGAAGCCGTGCTGGCTGTCCCAAATCACCTCCTTGTTCTTCGTGTGCCTCAGCACAGCTTTTAGGAGGGTCTGCTCTGTGATCTTCCCAGGCATAGAGATGAGGCTTTCAGGCTGGTAGTTCCCAGGATCATCCTTCCTTCCCTTCTTAAAGATGGATGTAATGTTTCCCTTTTTCCATTCACCCAGGACTTCGTTGACTGCCAGGACTTTTTGAATGTCTTGGAGAGTGGCTGGGCAGCTCCATTAGCCAGTTCCTTCAGGACTCTGGAATGCATTTTGTTGGGTCCCACAGACTTGTTGACGTTCAAATTCCTCAGGTGGATCTGATCTTCACTTACAGTGAGAGGGGCTTTGCTCTCCCAGTCCTTACCCCATCACTTGAGAGGTGTGGGATCTGTGACCCTTCAAGCTGGTACTTGCTGTACTTGCCACTGAGGGAACTCTGAGCTGACCTCGGTGTGCAGGCAGCCTCCAGCCCTCTGCTGACCTCAGGCAAGTGAAAAACTGGAGCAATGGTACAAGAACTGAAGGTTGGGGATGAGTTTTGGCACTTGGCACCCTCTGGCATGCCGTGTACTTGTTATATTTGCTTACATGGGTGTGCATTGGTGCCACGCTGCAGGTGAACTGAACCAAACTCCTGAAGATTACAGCTCTTGTGGCCAGGCATTCTTTGATTGCTACGAAATGATCACCAGTGATAAGGATTTATTAATCAAGGTGGGACTAAAAGGACAGCAAATCTGAAAGCAGCATCTTCAGTTCAGGGTCCCTTCCCCAGGGCTGTGCACACGAGCGTGGTTTGCCCCCTCTACGTGGCTGCATCAGTTGGATGAGTCTTGCCATGGCTGAGCAGCTTCTTTGGCCTCTTCCTGCCCATGCCTTGGAGGATCACACTGAAGATAAAAGTCAAGAAGGAAAATAAGCCCTTGCCCACGTTTCACTCTACGCCAGGATTTCAGTTTTAGTCCAGACCTCTTTGCTGTTCAGTTTTAGATGTTTAACGTGTCACTCAAGTTGAACGTTGTGATGACAGCAATCAGATTCACTCGAGTACTTTTGTGCTGGCACAGTGCTCTCGTTCGGATACGTGTCAGCAGAGGGGATTTAAAAATACGGATGTGCTGCGCTAAACCAGGCTGAGAAGGATTGTGTGCACAGAGAGATGGCCAGTATTGTAAAACAATTACCGTTCAAATAGGGTGGAAAAGAGGAAGGAATACTAATGTCTCTGTTCTGATGATGTGTATCTGAAGCACTGCAGGGTTTCAGACTCAGATGTTTGAAGGTGTTTAGGACCGTAAGCCCAGCTTAGGGGACCAAGTCTATACATGCAGAAGTCTCTTTGGAGACTCAGAGAACATGGTGAAGGTCACAGGGTAAGGACTAGTAATAAGCCAGTGCTAGAAGCTGAACCCAAAGTGCCTCAGTCATAAGTTGTTGTGGTGTTTTTCACCTAACATGTAGGGAAAGTTGCTTTTACTTTTGGAGCTCACTGTTCTTCTTAAGGTATATATAGTGAATTTAAGCTTGTTGGCCATTGGCTGGATTTTCTTAGTTACCCTTCTGAGGTGTCCTAGATGTTAAGGGTCCAGCCCTTTGAAAATCAGCATGAGCACAAACACTACCCTGTTTAGTTTCTCAGTGGTTCAGAGGAATGTGTGGAGCTTAATGTGTAAATGTGGCAGAGGGTTTTCTGCCAAGTAAAGAGAAAAAAGAAATAATGACAATATAGCTGTGAACATTTTTAAAGAGAGCTTTTCTTTAACTAATTTATAAGTTCTATCTAAAGGGGTTGTCTTTAAGACACTGTTTGGTCTTATTTTAAAGTAATCATTTTCTTGATGAGAAAATTATTCTCCTACTTATTTTTTGTTAACATAATGTGATGTTCCTGATGAACTTGAAGGTGACCTTTAAAGGGAGGATACCCTGAGAGATCTGTACTGATGCTGGAGCTGGCGGAACTGGGTCATCACACAGACCTGCTGGTAACATGCTGTTCTTTGGGGACATTGTGAGGACTTTGGGGAAAAATACACTCACGGGCATCACACCAGTTCTGAGCTGTGACCTGACCAAGTGTGTCAGGATGACACACTCAAAACTGGAGAAGGCCACGGGCTATTTCTGATTTGTTTGGGACTTGTCTAAAAAGTGAAGCTGTTGCGATACAAACGAGGGAGTGACATTGAGACACCAGTTTTCTCCTTTTCCCCTGGTTTGGGCTGTCACTAATTTGACTTCTTGCATCTTAGATCCACATGCTTTCTGATCAGGCTGCATTGTTTGAGGACATGTTCAGCACAAAGTGGCTGTGTGAGGAGGTGGTTGGCAGCCATCCTGGTCCCTGGGTCGTTGAGCTCTTGATTGTCAAACCCTCTGGAGGCTGTTTTGAAGTTCGGTGCTTGGTACCTGTCATCTGCAAAGTGACAGTGGTCTTTGTGCACCAAGAACTGGTGTTTGCTCACCCCACCCAGGACTGAAGTTTGGGCTTTGGGAACCTTTGTGTCCACCAGAGATGATGTGGCTACATGGAAGGTCAGGGTGGTTGTCCTACAATGAGGACAGTGATGATCAGACCTGCTGCTGTCTGCTGGCTCAGGGCTGGTGCAGAGGACAAGGTCCTGTGAGCCTCCAGGTGCATCTCAGAAGCTCCCCAGAGAGCAGATGAGGCAAACAAATTCCACTTTGGAGGGTGAGACAGTTTATCCCACTTGCAGGGTGTTTGTTTTTCATCTTTTTGCTGGTTTGAAAAGATGCCTTTAATATCACTCCAGTGGTATTGAATGAATGGTTTACTGGACTGGAGGCTAAAAAACACTTCAGCTTAGAAAAATTAATTCTTCTGAACTATAATCAGGTAGAAAATGAGAAGATTGTTAAACCTATGTTTTCTTTGTGGCAAAGACAACTTAATGGAAGTCTGGAGTGTGCAACTGAGCTAACAAAGTTTTAAAGAGCCAACAGAAATAGGTAGCAGGACAACGTGTGTCTGACAGCTGAGTACCGGGGATGTGGTGACAGAGGCACGGAGTGAAGTCGGCAGAGATGCCGGCAAAGGGAGTCTGGCGGCAAAAAGTAGGCTGGTGAGAACAAAGCACTGCCTGTCGCGGGAATGATTGCTCGTCCCTTTGATCACGGCGAGGAGGGAGGCTCAGCGAGCAGCGTTCAGACGGAGAGAGGCGAGGGAGGGGTGGGAGGCTGCAGCCCGGGCGTGGTGGAGGCATCGCTGGGCACCCCCGGAGCTGCACGGCCCCTGCCCAGGGCTGGGTTCAGCACCGACAGACCTGGGGAAGGAGGGCAGGGGGCTTTTCTCCTCGAGCTCAGGGCAGAAACCCTGTAGGTCCCGAACTTCTTTAAGGCAGTGGCTCAGTGCCCTCCGCCTGGCTGTTGCCTGTGAGATCCCGAGTGATAACTTTAAGGGCTGCAATGTGACCTGTGTAATCTGCTCAGCCTCTGCCCTGCCTTTAGTTTCCTTCCAGCCCCGTGGGTGGCCAGGAGGAGATGGAAGCTCTCCAGTGACACGCTGCAGTAGGTTTTGACCTCGGGAAGGACAGAACAGGAATTGTACCGGCAGCATTTACTGTCTGGTGGGGTTTGAGGGGGAGGCTCTCCTGTGACATTGGGTTAAGAGACTCCGGTGGTGGCAGTGCCTGGGCTCTGCCACGGAATGTTGTACTGCTTGTTCATCATCCTCCTGCAGTTGCTCTATCACGTCTCACAAGCAGCCCCCGAATTATTCATCGTGAGCACAGGGCTCTGACCAGGACATGCTGCTCAGCAAAGCCAGAATCACAAATGAGAGCTTTAATATGGAAAAGGCAGCAATGCCTGGTGCCTGTCCATCTTCTCATTTGAGGGGCAGCAGCTGGAAATAGGAACAAAATTTTACTGGTGGTTTCATGTTGAGCCTTTCCAGCCCGCAGCGTGCTGTAGAGCTTTATTAACATTGTGTTTTTAATTTATTTTTTGGGTTTTTATTATTTTTTTAGACTGCTTGTGTGGGCCAGCCCTGGCCACACAATGGTGGATTGGGTGGCACTGGTCTGTTTGTGTAGCAGCCCTGCTATCCATATGTACAATCTGTATCCTTGCTTTGGAACAACTG